GCTTAATTTGGATAGTTGTAGCCCCACTTCCGAACCATTTCTTTTATCATCACATACATTTCGACTTCTACTGAACAGTCAGTAGTGAATTGACCATAACTTGCTCAATAAAACTTCAATTGATGAGAGATTTGAATATTTAGAAACTAGACATATAGAGATTTAATTTAGTATATTACACGCTTAATTAGGATAAATGTAGCCTCACTTCAGAACCATTCATTTTATCATCACACACATTTCGGTTTCCCCCATTTCTTTATTTTCATTGAACAATCAGTAGTAAATTAGCCATAACTTACTCAAGAAAACTCCAATTGATGAGCGGTTTGAATTTTTGGAAACTAGAAAGATAGATATTTAATTAGATATATTACACGATGAATTTGGATAACTATAGACCTGCGAACTATTCATTTTATCATCACACATATAAAATCAATATATATATAAAGTTGAATACCCATGCGGGTTGTTTGCCATGTAGCGTATTTTGGAAGCTCTAGAATTGCTCCTTTTTGACACAATGGATTGACAAGTCAATCAAATTACTCTATCTTGACACGTTGGATTGGTATTTATTGCTCTGTCTATAGTTATTAATTAATTAAAAAATTGGAACAATTCTAATTATATAGGTGCATTGCATTGACATTCTAAAGGTCTAAACATAATGACACCTTAAATTTGTGATTGTCATGTGGTTGAATTTTCTTGGTGATGATGTAGACAATATTAATTGTTGCATTGGTATTCCAAAGTCTAAATAAATAGACATAAAGATTGGATTACATAGGTGCATTGCATTGGTAGTAAAAACATATCTGTTTATTAATAATTATATAGGTGTATTGCATTGACATTGCAAATCTTTCTTCGTATTCAATTCGTATTTAATTATGTTGCCATTCGAAAGGTCTAAATAAGGGGTTGTAAAAGGGGCGTATATTCAGTTGTGTATTATTGCAATATGTTAGTTGGTGTCAACAATACGTCTGGTCTTTTGTTAATTGTTTATAGGTCATGTTAGTTTGTCTCAATAATACTTCTATTCTTCATGATTTTATTAATCGATGATTTTTTATTTATTTATGTTTTTGTTGTTGTTTTGTCACGACTGGGGGCTATCCTCTATCTCCCCGCCTTCGGGCTCAAGGGCTTTTCTCGCGCGCTAAACACATCCAAGGTATTGTCCGCTATGGGTCCTTCTGGCCATGCCTCATTCGGACCCTCATGGCTTTGTTTCGCTTCATGGTCTTTTTTTCACCTTGTGAACACCTCCCCCATGACTTGAACCTTGGACTTATACCTTGGCCAAGTAACATGAGTATTATTGGGCTATAGAGGATAGCCCTCGGTCGTGACATGTTTACAGGTCAAAGATTCATGAATTGGCTTGGAAGGCAAGATGTCCGATTTACATTGTCAAATGAGTTGTTATTTTGATTCATTCTTCTAAAATGTAAGCATATCTTCTAATTATTTGAATACGAAATTGTAAGTATAACTCCTAACTATTTTAATGGTTATTATTTGATTGAATGATTGTTTTTGTTCTATCAATCTATTTGAATGATTAATTGTGTTAGTCCTTCCGAACGGTAAGTGTATTCTTTAACAATTTTAAATGCAGATAAATTAGCTTTTGTTGATTTTGTTTTCAGATAACAGTTGTTATACGAATGAATAATTGTTCCTTAACAAATCTTAACATGAAGATCGATTAAATTTTGTTATGTTTGTTTTCAAGGAAATGTTCATGTACTTTACTAAGATCAAATCGGGAATGATCTTATTGTCAGCCGAACTGTGAGTATGTGGCATATCTATATTAGTAGAAACAGTTCAATTGTATTGAATATGTTTTCTGTAAAAACATTGGTGTATTTTAATTTGTTATATGAATGATTTATTGTTTATGTCCTGTTGATGTGCGAGTACATAAATTTGGTTGATTCTGTTTTCCAATTAATAGGTGTTATTTGAAATATTTCTTATCAGTCCTAATATAAAAATCCCTTAAATTTGGGTTAAGTAAACCATTCATTTTATCATTACACGTATTTCGGTTTTCACGGAACAATCAATAGTAAATTGACCATAACTTGCTCAATAAAAATCTAATTGATGAGAGGTTTAAATCTTTAGAAACAAGACAGACAGGGCTTGAATTTGGTACATTATATGCTTAATTTGGATAAATTTAGCCCCACTGTCAAACAATTCCTTTTATCATCACGCACATTTTGGTTTCCACTGAATAGTCAGTAGTAAATTGATCCTAACTTTCTTAATACAAATAAAATTGATGAGAGATTTGAATATTTAGAAACTAGACAGAAATTGCTTTAATTTGATATATTGTATGCTTAATTTGGATAACTTTAGCTCCACTTATGAACCATTCCTTTTATCATCACACACATTTCGATTTCCACTGAATAGTCAATAGTAAATTGACCATAACTTGGTTGATAAAAATCTAATTGATGAGAGGTTTGAACCTTTAGAAAGTAGACAAACAGAGCTTCAGTTTGATATATTGTACTCTTAATTTGGATAACTGTAACCCTACTTTCAAACCATTCATTTTATCATCACACATATTTCGGTTTCCCCTGTTTCTTGATTTTCACTGAACAGTTAGTAGTAAATTAGCCATAATCCAATTGATGAGCGGTTTGAATCTTTGGAAACTAGAAAGATATGACTTTAATTTGATATATTATATGATGAATTAGGATAACTATAAACTTGTTGCCGAACTATTCATTTTATCATTACACACATAAAACAAATTCAATTTTAGTGATGACAAAGGAAAACAAATATTGATATGTAGTTTTAATTATATTTGTTCTATCTATTTTTATTGATTTTTGGATTGATTTTGTTGTTTGATTTGTGGGTTTTGTAGGTTTTACAATTATTGTCTTTTTTTAAGATGCTATCATCAAATGTTTTTTTTACTATAGGTGATGGTCAATTCTAATTACAGCAAATGAATTTGTGTCACAAAACCTTTATATTCATGATTTCTTCAATGCTTCAATCAAGTTACCTTGAGATTGTACTGTTGGAGTTGTTGTTGCTTTCTATGTGAGTTCTCTTTTCAACATTCTTAATTTTCTTTTATTTCTACAATAATTCATTTTCTCTTTTCAACAATCAAAATCAATTTTTTCCTTTGACTTTGCAAGTCTCTTGCTCAAAAATTCACATTTTTTAACAAGGATTCTCTTTCTTTGATTAATTTATAGACTTATCAATAATACCCAATAGGTTATCCTGCAAATTTTGTTGCTTTTTTTGACAAAGTTTTAAACTTTGGTAGCAAATGTCAAATGGTAACATATTTGAGAAGAACTATGATGATATAGTATGCGTTTGGTTTATTATTTTGGGTAGGATTTTAGGGATAGTATTGGATAATTGAATATGGGAGTATTACGAGGTAAAATTTAAAAATTTATAGAAAAACCCCCTAAGTTTGCTAATTTCATAAATACCCCCAACATGTAAATTGACAAAAATACCCCCACCACCTGCAGTGCCAGATTCTGGCCACCACCGCCGGAATCTGGCCGGAAAATCGCGTTACGACATAGACCGGTCGGATCTGTGTCGTAACGAGTCGTTATGGCCTTTTCCGGCCAGATCCACCACAGATCTGGCCGGAAAAGGCTAGATCTACGGCCTGCCGTGGCCGTCGACGGCCGAAAAAGGCCAAAACGACTGCCATCTTTGGCCGTCAGCGACGGCCAAAGATATGGCCGTCGTTTTCAGTCAACGACGGCCAAAGAAATCCGTCATTTCTTTGGCCGTCGTTCACGGCCAGATCTAGCCTTTCCCGGCCAAATCCGTGGTGGATCTGGCCGGAAAAGGCCAGATCCGTGAACTTCCGGCCATTTATGGTCGGCAGGTTGGCCGTTGTATAGATTTCGGCTACCACCGACGGTGGTTGCCAGAATCTGGCGAGTATGGGTTGCGGGGGTGTTTTTGATAATTTTTAAACTTTTTTTTAGGGTGTATTTGATGAAATTAATAACCTTATGGGGTCTAAAAGTAATTAAAAAATAGGGTAATAAGCCCAAACGTTATTTGGAGAATGGACCGAGAGAATCTGGATAAAAATAATAAGCAATAAATTTTTAGTTCAATTTTTGGATATTTTATTTATTGATTTTTTAATTATCAATTCAATATAGAAAATATATATTTAAAACACAATAAAAAACCAATAATAATGTAAAAAAAATTATAATAAATATACTCGCATCACGTAACTTGAAAATGAATATAAGTTACAGAAATTGCGGAAGGTCAATATAAATTTTGAGTTTAAATAGTTGATCTTGATAATATTTAGTTGATATTAAATATAATACACGATTCGCTACAAAATACTGACATCAAATATCAAAAACATGTCTGTAAAAATAATATCAATTATATACAAGGTGATGATTCTAAAAATATAATTAGACTATATAATATTCAGGTGATTTTCTCAAGTTGGATGAATGATTTAATAACATTTACCTATAATTGATATTAATAATTATACAGGTACAATTATTAATTTTATCTTAACACAACTTTATATATATACAATTTATATTTACTTTAAAATTTGTATAATTTAACACTTATTATATCTTAATTTAATTAGTTTATTTTGTTAGAATAAATTTGTTTACAATCTATTTCAAAAACATTAAATAAACCGCAGGCCTCATGTCTAGTTTTAATATATACATAAAATCGATTAAAAAAAAAAAACTGGGTTAAAAAATATTTAAAATTTCAACCTAATTAATTCCCTTAATATATATATATACACAAAATTCACATAACTTTGATTTTTACCATCCAAAAATATCCTTACTCCCAAACAACTGTACCCGGAACCCGGATCCGTTTTAAATAAAGTGAATGATTATCTGGACCCGAACGCGAAATAAAAAATTTCGAATTCCAAATGTGGTGATTTGAGAGGACCCGGCCATGTATAAATTGATATGGTAGTTGGTCAAATAGTTTCAAATAAAAGTCACTGAGAAAATTGCTTTTGCCGTCTAGAATAATGCGACCAAACATTGTTTCCGAGGTGAGTTAACTCAGATCTAATTAGGTTTTTTTTTTTTTAAATTGAATTTTAACGAATCATGAATTGCTATTGATGCAAAGTGAAATCGAATTCTTTTGTGTTGGATTGTGTGTTTGGTTGCTGTGAAAAAAGTAAAGAAATGAAAGTTTGTGAATTTGAGCTGTTGTTTCTAGAAGCTGTGAACGTAAGTATGTTGAGTTTTAGTGTTGGACTTCTTTTGTAGTTCAGTTTTGTACTTTACATAGCGAAGTAGAGAATGGAGTTTCTGTGGTTCAATGGCTTTGAAAAACAAGCAAATGTGTTCTTTTTTGAAGGAATTGAGGTTCTGTAAATTTTGAATTGCAAGTAATGTGGCATTGATATGTGATTGTATTTGTGAATCAATCAATATTGCTTGGGATGCAAACGTTTGGATGGAGACCTGGAGTGTATAGCGTTACTCGCTTTAAATTGCTTGAGAGAACTATGGATTTGTTTCGTGTTTCTAATGATGTGTGACTTCTAGGACTAGAGGATTTGATAGTTTCTTTGCATTTTTGTGATGTATGAGTCACTCTGTGGCAGTGGCCCGGTGAGTCGGTGACATTTTGGAATAAATCATTTATTAATCAAAGTATGGATGGAGACCTGGAGTGTATAGTGTTTCTTGCTTTAAATTGATTGAGAGATTTATGGGTTTATTTCTAATGATATGGAGCTTCTAAGACTAGAGGAATTGATTGTTTCTTTGCATTTTTGTGATGTATGACTCAGTCTATGGTAGTGGTCCAATAAGTCAGTGACATTTTGGAATTAATCATTAAATATTGGTGATAATTTTTTCACATTCTGTATGCTATTCAAATAAATGTATTTAGATTTTAGTTCATTGCGAATTTGATGCTAAATGGTACTGTGATGTTATTAAAACTTGTTGTTCCTTGCAATGGTACTAGAACTATCCTCTTGGTTATGACTTTATATTCTTTTGATCTTAGCAGTGCCCTTTTCTCATTTCCTTATGGACTAAAATCTCATTAATGTTCCATGAGTAATTAAGTTCCATTTACCTTATTGGCTGGAATTGATTGTAGATTTGTAGTTCTGTAATTACAATTACTTGAAAACAATATCAAATGGTCTCTTTTTTCTGCTATGTAATTGATGTTTAATTTTCATCATATTTTGGTATTCCTGTTCTGTAGGTGGGGTTGTCTACCAGAGCTAGCCAATGGTGGGATAGCATTCCATTCTTTACCTCAGCAGTTGTGATTGTCTGTGGGACTATTTACTTGATCTGCCTCTTGACCGGATATGATACTTTTAAAGAAGTATGCTTCTTGCCATCTGCTGTTGTATCACAGTTTCAAGGTACACTGACAGTCTGATGGAATGATGCATTTATCACCATAATTACATTGGATGGAAATGCATGTAGTTTCACTCATAATATTATGGAAAGTTGGTATTTTGATAGTAAAAAAAATCTGTTTTTAATTTTTTATAATCAGTTGATGTAATGTGTACTTTCAAATATTTAAAATATTCCAAACCTAGTTATAGTTTGAAAGTAAATCACTTATTGAATTATGGTATAAATTCATTCTTTAATTGTAAAGGAACATGTATTTTCACTTTTCCTTATTTCAAGCCTTTTATCATGTTTGGTTAGTAAATTTTTTCAGAGATATATTCATTTCTGTCTTACCATCATTAATCTATTCTTTTATATTTCAGTTTACAGGATTTATACCTCCGTTATTTTTCATGGTTCAGTGCTACATGTTGTGTTCAACATGTTGGCTTTCGTTCCTTTGGGTTCTGAATTGGAGAGAATCATGGGCTCCATCCGCATGTTGTGCATGATAATCTTGTTAGCTACAAGCAATGCTATTTTTCATCTTATTATAGCCTTCTTGGCAGTCCACATTCCTATTAATTCATTTCAGTATCTCATGGATGAGTGTGCAATAGGCTTCTCGGGAATCATATTCTCTCTGATTGTCATAGAGACAAGTTTGAGTGGAGCACAATCTAGGAGGTTGGTTTTTCTTGTTCTTGCTATGAAATCATAATTTTTGACATGATTTTTATCCTTTCTTCATTTTTTAGATGAGGTTGGGTGCAAGGGTCTGCTGACTTCTCTGTTTACAGGGAGTATTAGATGTGCATTAAAAATTTCATCACATGTGGTACACGTGTTGTTTTTTTTTTTTTTGTCGATGAACTGGTTCTGAGCTGACTAAAATCTTCTTTCTTTCTTTCTTTCTGTAGTGTATTTGGTCTCTTCAATGTGCCTGCTAAATGGTAATGCAACAGCTTGCTTTAGATGGTTGATTATCTCTTTTCAAGAAACTCATTTGTAACCTCTAAAAGATATGGTATTTCTGATGAAAATATGTGCTTTCAGGTATCCGTTGATCTTATTGGTAATCTTCCAGATTGTTTTGTCAAATGTATCGTTACTTGGACATCTATCCGGCATTTTGTCTGGATTTGCATGTATGTTCCTCTTTTTCCTTATCTTCTTCTCTCTATTGTTATTAGCTTTGCCATATAATTGAGGAAGTCATTGAAAAGATTTATTTCCGTCTACACATTTTCAGACACGTATGGCTTATTCAACTTCCTCATACCTGGAACATCCTTTTACTCTTCCATCGAGTCCTCCTCTTGGCTTGTAAGTATTTTAATGTAGATTGATTTCAACTTTCATTTTTGGCCGCTTAATGTATTCAAGATAAGTTATTTACATTTTGGTCAAGGTAGGAGGAGTTGAAAATTTTCTGATGACTATAACTAACTGCTTGTCACAGTATTATTATGATATTTAAATGGGTCTTCAATTTGGATCTAGTGCTTGTTACAGGAACCTTCCATCCCCACTTAGGATCCTTACTCCCTGTATAGACCCATGGCACTCAGTTTTCAGGCCATAATACCTATTCATCCAGACCGATGCAAATAGACATTAGAAAGTTCTTTAAAATCTCTTATCCTGATTTGTTGGGATTGTTTACATAATATGTTTTCTGTATTTAGCCATATTTAGGTTTGAATTTTGTGAATCAAAGCTTCATCCTTTAAAATCTTCTTTTATTCAGGTTTGCAAGTTACATAAGTTAGTATAACTTATCATAATTACCATGAGAAGTGACAAGCAATCAAGTGGAAATTGCATACATGATTTTCTTTTGCTTTATCCGTCTACTAACAGCACATATAATCTAAATCAGTGTGATATTTACCATTTGTGGGTTTCAGTCCACCTGCATAAGACGGCCTAAATTTATCTTGTGCACTGGCGGAAATTCTTCAGGCTACATCCCGACATATACTGGCCAGAATACGAATTCCAGGTAAACATTGGCCTTTTATGCAACAGCCTACTTTGTATCTATGAAAAGATCTAACTTAAATTTTCTTGGATAGTGGATTGTTTTCTGGAACTATCTGGAGAAACTTATCTTCATGGATTCCACGAAGGGAAACATCTTCACAGGTATAAAGCTAATAACTTAGAGTGAATTTTTTAAGTTTAAAATATTCTACATGTTTACTGTAATCCAGTTTTGGTCATGTCTAAGTGGGTTTCTGATGAATACCACCTCTGAAACTAACCCACACTCACTCCAATTCCAGTAACACTCAGCAACACAATCACACCAGCAACTCTAACCACAATCCAACTCAATCAACAAGCAATGAATCAGTAAAGAATTTAAGAGAACAGATGATAAGAGATAATAATATTCAATAGAACATCAAAAGAACAATAAGAACAACTGGTCTTCCAGGGCCAGCACCTTCCAGACAATTCACACCTAAAAATCAGGATATCCCCTAGACACTCATGTCCCTCTTTTTATTCCTGACACTCAGATTCTAACTAACTGCCTATGCCACCTGTTAACAATACCAATTGCCCTTTTTGCCCTCCCTTAGCCCTTTGTTTGTACCACCTAGAGACTCTGGGTCCATCAGTTTCTAGGAGAGATTATTATGAATGAATCCAAACTTTAGCAATATTTCATGAAATGGTAACTCTGAAGATCTGAAACCTTGCACTCCTTCAGTCCTGCTATTTTATTGTTTGCGCCCGGTGTTATTGGAACTAATGATTTAACTTCAATCTTTTGTTTTTCTGCTTCTTAGACAAAGATGCAACCTGCAAGTGTCATTGACTGAATAGCTGTCAATTATGGATCTGTTAGTAGTTGTACATTGTAAAAAACAATTGTGGTTGTTAAATGGTTATGGATCAAAGGATAGATTAGAGTACGATGGACTGGAATGCGCAATATGGGTGCATTCTGTGTCAGTTTTCTCCTTGAACCTCTTAACCTTAAATTTTAGTCAAAATGATGTTAATTGCTAAAATCTTTTCTTAATATAAAGCAGCCAGCACAAGACAACAGGTTCACTGGGAGGGGAAGGACCCTTGGTTCCACCCAAGGTCTTGTTAATCCAGATTTAAGTCTACAAGCTAGGCTTCTGGATAATAGCAGCCCTGACCACCCATTAGATACGCCATCAATTGGTACAGGAGAGCAGCTATCCGATGGAAGGTATGAGAAAAAATATTCAGTGAACCTCTATCACCAACTTGATTATTGGTTTTAAGATAGCATAATAGTACTTATTAAAAAAATTCATCTTTTCTGGATGTGAAGGTCAAAATTTTGCAGTTTTTAAATTTATATCATTGTGTTTTTGGTTGAGAAATCTTACAAGCTAGTGGAATGTGAATAATGTCTTTATATTTGGAAACTTTGGAGTCATTTTAGATGCGGCCAGCAGTTTTTTTCTTTCTCTGATCAAACAAGAATAGCAGTTGGTATGGTGTGATAGTGGTAGGATTTAGTGGTTTTGTTTATTTTAATGGTGATATTGGCCTGAATTTCATTTGTGTGACATGTGGATAAACCCACCTTTCAGCTCAGATGTGGTTAGTTATTGTTTCAACTTTTGAAAGCCGAGTTTTATCCTGATTACCTTTATAAACTATCATTTGTATTTCTTTTCGAGCTTGAGAGCTGATTTCTAGACTATAGATTTTGTAGTTAAGAGGTCATCCATTTGCCCATTGTGATATTTGGACTTAAAATTTACTATTTCGTCATTGGATTTCAGGCAATCAGCAGTGGATAATACTGTTGCCGCAGGCCATCAGGTTTTCTTTCTCAAAATTAATAGTTGCTTTCTTCTTTTTCATTTGTTTTGGTTCATCCAAATTCTTAAAACAATTTTTTGGTTTTCTTGTTCACTGGATGCAGGTTTCAGTCGTCTCGGACAAAGAAATCCAACAACTTGTTTCAATGGGTTTTGACAAGGTAAAGATCACAAGTTGCCACACCCTAATTCGTGCATCTTTCTCATTATTTCATTTCTCACAGATTTCTAAAAATCATATGAAAAGTTGGCGGTGCATGTTTTTTTTCATCTACCTAAAAATTAGACAGTAGAGATTCTGAATCTAACTTTTTTATCTTATTTCAGACACAGGTAGAAGTCGCTCTGGCAGCTGCAGATGGAGATCTTAATATAGCAGTGGAAATCCTCATGAGCCAGCAGGTACATCTTTCACAGTTATTCTTATCCATCATGTCAATTAATCTTTCTTTTTCTAATCTACTCGGTTTATCGATTATCATATCAGGGGTAATTCACAAAGCAGTACCACCCATTTGACATTTCTAATACGAAACCCCAACTGCCGTTCAAACTGGCACCGATTTCATCTACCCCTGAACCGGTTACATGAAATCCGCTCTTGCAGGAGCTGTATGTATAGTCGTTCTGACATGATCAATTGAGGTAAGAAACGAAATATTTCCAGTGCTAACTAGTTTTAAGAAAAAGGAACAAGAATGGTTTGTAAAAACAATTTTTCACCTCAGGAACCTTTGTAGTTTGATATAAAGAAAGCGTTTTCTTTGTTTTGTAGAGTCCTGAAGCTTTTAATATAATCTTGTGCCTGATATTTTTCATGTAAACAATAAATCAAATGTATGTGTATGTATATGTATATGTAAATGTGTTAATCCGTTTAGCACAGCAAAGTTTTTATTTTTTCACAAGCATGATATAAATCTAAAAATGGGTTAGCTTGATACAATTAATTTAATCATGTCACCTCGTTACAATCAAATCCTAACCCACTAACTTTATGTTGTGTTTTCGTATTTGTGCATCAAATTTCCACCCCCAAAAGTTAATACATGAACCCCAAGAGGGCTGTTCAGTCCCATCTGCTTTGTAGTTTCTCAATGGGGGTTGAAGATTCTTCTTGTAACTGATGCTGCAAATTTTTTCCAACAAAATTCGGATGGTACTCATGAAACCCTCCTGTTTGATTCATGCTTTTGCTAGGAAGGCTTTTGGCTTTTGGTAATAAATCAGACATTCGTAGTCTCTGTCTCGGTCTATCCTGCAAAAAGATCAACCAACTTTCAGATTTTTATCTTCCATGCTTCATAATCTTTTCTGTGTGCCCATGTATTTGAGAGCGAGATTTAAAGATTCTTTTAGCCGAAGCAGCGTCAGATGTGAAAATCAGTTAGACCAACCTTTGAATTAGTACCACATCGACGTACAGTATGCCCTTTCTCGCCACACTTGTGGCAAGCAACGGAGGGATTTGTTCCACTGGGAGGCTCACATGAATTTGGGCATGCCTTGTATAGAATGTAGCCTCAATTAGATTAGTGACATAGCTCTAGAGTAAATTGGCTTTAGTAATTGCACAGGCTTTAAACAAGCTGAATAATGACTTACAGAACCCAGATGGCCAGATTGCCCACAATTGTAACAGGAAACATGTTTTTGAGCAGTATCCGGAAATTTGACGCAACAGAGATGATTGAAACTCCGGCAAATGTAACATTGTATCTCCTGCATGTAAGATAAGAATAATTAACAGTGTGTAAAAACATTTGTGCACTTGCAGATCGTTATCAACTCATAAAATTGCATTGAAACAGAATGCAGACCTTTAGATCATCAGCGGCAAAATCACCGGTACATGAAAACATATCATGTCCTGAATCCCCACATCTTAAACATATATCAGAACTCGAGTTGTTCATCTGGTCAGTCTTCGAACAATTTTGGGCAAGATGGTCTATTCCATTTCTGATAAAGCAATCCCGGCCCTGCCTGCAATACTTCCATATATGCTTGGAACTCCCACAAAGAAAGCATACCTTCTTCCGCTTTCCGTTTCCATAATTTGAAAATGTTACCCAGTTGCAATCTGGAGGATCAAAGTATCTTGGTTTCCGCTAAATAAGAAATGAGGAGAAGAAAATAAAATAAAAAAAAAACAAAAAATTATAAAGAGTAACATTTTAGACAGTGCATCAAATATAGAGATCTCAACTTACAAGAAGCATCCGAAGCACAATATTGTCTTTTGTATCTTCTTCCTTGGCATCACCCACCTAAATCCAATTTCCAAAGAAACTCCAAACATCATTATGAAGTACCATATATAAATCACCAAAGACGCACAGAAAGTTTAATTTTAAATCAGGATATGCATAAAACTCACTGATAGAATTTAAAATTACCAAGAATAAGGAAGAAAGGACACATATTTGGAACAAAAATGAATCAGGAAGCTAGCTCAGCAGAATTAGAGAAAAAAATAAAAGTTTTTGCCTTTTCCATAAGCCTGGAAGCAAGTCAAGCTTGCATTGGCACATCACTCAGCTCCTTAGGCACATATCTCAGCAACACAAAACGAGGGTTTCGCCTAGTATCGCCAACTTATTGCTTTCAGAAAACTCAATTCTATGACTAAATATTTTCTAACTTGACACACTAAGGCCCTGACCTCTTCATCTTCTCGTTTTCCCCTTTACATATAACAGAATCTGAGTGCCTTGCGAAATTCAGAACCAGTAACAATGCTAGGCATCAATTCTACATTTCACTTTTTGTGATCTATTTAAATAGAAAGACATTAATTAGGCACACAACCAATTCGAGAGCATTTGCTTCCTAGTTCTTGCAGGTTCCGGTAAAAGGTTTTACTTAAGCACAAAAACTCTGACACCCTTTTTCGATATATAATTCAAGTCCACCAAGTGTCTCAAATAAATCAGTTTTTAGCAACAACACATTGTGAAAAGAGTCAAGTACCTCCCACAGGATACCTATGAAGTTCAAGAGGTGTATCAGAAAAAAGAATTTAATGGACATGTACCTTATCTTGTGCTGTGACCCTTTTCTTCTTTCTTCTCCTCCTTTCTTCTTCACTTCTACAGGGCCCCCACTGTGTCTTCAACACCTCTGCAGCAGCTCACACTGAAATTGCTTGGTCAGCCCCTGGGGTGGAGCATAATTGATCCCTTCAGAGAATTGCCCCATCATCAGTTCCATTCCTTTCATGGTTCCACAGATGTAATCGTGCTTGCATCCTCTTTTTCATTTGCATTATCAATCTACAGCAAACCAAACAAAAATTGATTATTAAAGACAATGGCCCAGCAACCTTTTGAAGGCAAGAATTGATTCAGGTTAAGGCCTTTGATTTCAACTCATAGGTAGAGATTCACCTCCCTTTGAGGCCACATATTTGAGATATTATACACTACCAAACATTCGAATGGTATCCAATTTAGAGCTCATTGAACATATAAGTTTGCAACTCCTTTCTTTTAGCCAAAATAAAAATAATACTAAACCTACAACCTCCACCAAAATAACACCAGTTCCCTTACAAACTTTCCTTGTCATATTAGCCATACCTTCACCTGTTTCTAGCGATTCACACAGCATTATCAAATGATACAAGTCTTGGATGAATCTACAACACACTAGAAGGCTTGTAGACGGTCCTTTCTCCAATAGCATCTAGTTCCTCAAACAATGGATATCTCACACCCTAAATCCTTAACCCTCCCCCTCTCTAAGACTAGATTTTTGTAATTAGTCCCAACATATACAATAGTGATTAACCTAGGATTAATCGTACTTGAACTTTACAATTAGGCAAATTTTTTTTTTTGGGGTGATACTGAGCAATTCTCTACCCATGCATATAGCTCAAGAAAAGGAATGCCCGAACCCAGCTGAATGTTATATATAGAAAGCACATGTTAACAGTTCAACTTCCACCACAATTTTGGGGTTCATTAATATCTAACACCTGACTGATCCTGGTTTTGATGCTTCATCATTTCCATAGCTTCATTTTTGCCTAGCTGCTCTTCCCCTTTGCATTTTACCTAACCACAATATATATTTAAAAAAGCTCATAAATCAATAAATGAAGCAAATTAATTTGAAAATTTATAGCCATTCAAATCAACTAGCTACTAATATCAGCATATTTTGGTCAAGCATTTTCTTTCTCCAGCTCGTTTTTCCCAAGACCAAACAGTAATAATAAACTATGGTTCAAAAGACATCAAGCATTGACTATTTAGCTCACACTTTCCAAGAAACAGACAGAAAATAAACATTAAAAAAAAAAAAAAAACAAAGCCACAACATTGACATCCTGTTGATCACAAGACTAAGCTTCTCTTCTTCTCCATCTTGTTTCTTCTCATGGGAGCCTCAGCTTCTATCATAGCTTTAAGGTTGTGAAAGTCACTCAAATCAGAAATAATTCTATACTCATCTTCACGGAACACACCATTCTCCCTTCTTAGCCCTATTTCTCTTCTTTCTCCTCCTGAACCCTCCGCCTCCATCATTGCTTTCAGTTCTCAAGCCTCAGATCAGAAACATTCTACTCTTCACATTCGTGGTTTCCACAGATGTAATGGTGCCTGCATCCTCTTTTTCAATTGCATTATCAATCTACAGCAAACCAAACATACAAATTGATTATTAAAGACAATGGCACAGCAACCATTTTGAAGCCCAAGAATTGATTCAGAGTTAAGGCCTTTGATTTCAACTCATAGGTAGAGATTCAACTCCCTGTGAGGCCACATGTTGAGATATTAACACTACGAACATTCAGCAATGGTATCCAATTTAGAGCTCATTGAACATATAAGTTTGCAACTCTTTTCTTTTAGCCAAAATAAAAAACAATACTAAACCTACAACCTCACCAAAATAACACCAGTCCCCTTACGAAACTTTACTTGTGAATTAGCCAACACTTCACCTGTTTCTAGCAATTCACACAGCTTATCAAATGATACAAGTCTTGGATAAGAATCTACAACACACTAAAAGCTTGTAGATCCTTTCTCCAATAGCATTAGGGTTCCTCAACAATGTGATATCTCCACCCGGTAAATCCTTAACCCTTCCCCTTCCTTCTTCCTAATACTAGAGAGTGTTTGTAATTTATGTCCCAAGACAGGTATACAAGTAGTGATTTCAAACCTGAGATTAATGTACTCTGGCAACTTTAAATTAGGCAAAGTTTGGTTTTTTGGGTGATACCGAGAAATTCTCTACCATGCATATAGCTTAAAAGAAAAGAAATGCCCAGAACCCAGCTGAAGATTTTCATATGAAAAGCACATTTTAACAGTTCAACTTACCACAAAATTTTGGGGTTCATTAATATCTAACACCTGACTGATCCTGGTTTTGAGCTTCAATCATTTGCACAGCTTCATTTTGCCTAGCTGTGTCTCCTTTCCAGCATTGACCTAAAACCACAATATATAGTTCAAAGAAGCTCATAAATCAATAAATTGAAGCAAATTATTATTATTTAAAAAAGCATAGATTGAAAATTAATGCCATTCAAATCACACTAGCTAAATCGACATATTTTCATCAAGCATTTTCTTTCTCCAGCTCAGTTTTTCCCAGAACCAACAGTAAATAAAATACTATGGTTCAAAAAGACATCAAGCATTGACATACTTTAGCTCACACTTCCCCAAGACCAGACAGAAAATAAGACATTAAAAAAAAACAACACAAACAAGCTACATCAGTGACATCCTGTTGGTCACAAGACTCAAGCTTCCTCTTCTTCTCCATCTTGTTTCTTCTCATGAGAGCCTCAGCTTCTATCATAGCTGTAAGGTTGTGAAAGTCACTCAAATCAGAAATAATTCTATGCTCATCTTCACAAAACGCACCTTTTCTCCTCTTCTTAGCCCTTTTTCTTTTCTTTCTCCTCGCTGACCCCTCTGCCTCCATCATTGCTTTCAAGTTCTCAGAGCCACTCAGATCAGAAATCATTCTGAACTCTTCAACCTTCGATCTCCATTTTATTGTTCTTTCTTCTTTATCTTCCTCTTCTTCACTGCTTTTTATCAAGATAATCGGGTTCTCCATTTTTACGTTCTTCCCTCTGTCATTTTCCGGGAAGATAGAGGTAAAATTTAGGAAACTTCAACTTGGGATGCTGTATTGCTGTGTCCTAGACTACGTATAGGCTTTGGACAATTTTTGCCATTTTGGTGAAACCTTTGGAATTCTCTATAAGTGTCCCATCTCCAAGTTGGTGTAACTTTCATGTCAAATGGTTGTATCTTTCGATAGCATTTTATTAATATATCAAATATTACAACAACAAAAAATATTTTAAAAAATAATCTATTTTTTTCTTTCTATTAATTTTTAATAATTAATTTATTTCATTAATTATTTTTATATATTAATTAAATATTAGACATAATATTTTTATTAATTAATACTAAATTTAAAAATTATACTAATTTAATAAAATTACGTATTTATTAAATCAAATAAATATTACATTTAATATAAAAAAATATTACATCTAATATAAAATGTCAAAAAAAAAAAGCCAACATCACAAATATATTGTTAGTGATTTATTTTTGAATTATATAAATATTATGAATTTACTATTATAAATATAATATAAATAATAATCAAATTAACATAAATACAAATTAAAAAAATTAACTAACAAAAATAAGGAAATAAAATATGTTTTGTGGCAGATGAATAGTATCACACCAAATTGGTATGGATTAGAGGTGGAACATTTGGGCCGGGTTAGGCGGGTCAACCCTAACCCGGCCGGTAAAGAAGCGGGTTGAACCCAACAACAACTCCCGGGCGGGCCGGGTTGCTGTTTTGTCTCTTTTGCAAGAGACCTGCCAACCCGCCGGGTTGGCCGAAAAAAAAAAATATTTTATTTTATTTTTAAAATTACCCATTTACCCTTGAAATATAGTCGTCTTATAGCTGTTGGAATGGTCTTTTTCGTCATTTTTCTTTCCCATTTTTTTCCTATAAATTGGCCATAAACTCTCACATTTTTCTCACAACTCAAATTCTCTCATTCTCTCATATTCTCTAATCTCTAATATCTCAATTATTCATTTATTCTCTTAATCTCTTTGTTATCAATTTGCTCGTATTTTTATTAGTTTTTACAATTTTTAATTCATATTTCTAATTTTCCAAATTCCAAATTCCAATTTCCATATTCCAATTCTCTTTCTTTAATTTTTATTTCTTCTACATCAATTTTTTTTTTCAACTACAATAGATAGATATTTCTCTCCCATTAATTACAATGATGATGGAAACTACTATCCTAGTCCTAGTCCTGCTGATTTTACTAACATAAATGCAAGAGGAGATTCAAATAGTCCCGCTTTCCCATTCTTAGAATCTGATACACCTCAAAATATGCCCCCGATTCCAACAACTCCCGGTGGTTCTAGAAGTTGTCCTCGTAATTGTCGTGCTCGTCCAACTTCATCTCAAGCTGAGGCGAGATCATCAACTGCCGTCGAAAGCGAAGACAGACACACATTAGACGTTTGGGCGTATTTCGACAAGTTTTACGAGATAGAAAATGGCGTTCAAGTCAAGAAAGCGAGATGCAAATACTGTGGAAATATTTATAAAGCTGATTCAGGTAATGGTACTAGTACTTTAAAAAGGCATGCTAATAAACATATTAATCAACATGAAAATAGAGAAAGCAATCAAACTAAAATAACTAATATGGGTACTAATTGGCGTTATAATTCTGATATATATAGGGAACAGTTAGCTTTATATATTGCTACAACTGATCAACCTATTAATATGGCTGAAGATAAATATTGTGAAAGATTTGTCCAAAATTCATTTTTTTTTCAGGATTTAAAAGTTATTCTAAAACTGCAACTAGAAATTATTTAATAAAATTGTTTAAAAAAATGAAATTAGAATTAAAAAATAAAATACATATTTGGCATGTCAGTGTGGCTCTAACTGCCGATATTTGGAGCGGTGGAGCTAAATAAGATTATATTTGTATGACTAGTCATTATTTTGATAATGAATATAAATTAAATAAATCTTTATTAGGATTTAGATTAATGAACGTTGATCATAGTGGTGAACAAATTTATAATAAAATTGTTGAAGTTTTAGAAGATTAT